ATATATATATATATATAATATTAACTCCTGTAACAAATAATATTACTGAGAATAACAAAAAACAATTTCGTCCGTTTACGATGTCAAAACAATATGATTTCGTCCACTACAGCTTCAAGAAGTATAAAGTAAAATATGTTTAAAAAAAGTCCCAGGAACTACCCTGGAACTCTAAAGCAAGAAGCTTCTTAACAATGTTCCTCCATTTTTTTGAATATTCTCCCTCCTATTTTTCTAGATGAAAATGATTTCAACAATTTTCTAGAAAGAAAAACAATGTTTCATATCCAGGATGCAAGTACGCAACAATTTTGGAGATTCAAAAGCAACAGTGTTGAAGAAGGAAAAAAATTTAAATATTGTAAATTTTAGCTGTCAGGTGCTGCTTTGGTGAAAAAATTAAAAGAAATTGATGTAAGCTGGGCAGTTTGGGTTTCTGGTGTTGATTTTGTTGCACAGTAATTTACTATATCAAGATATCTTACTTTTGTGTAAACATGGAACAATTAAAAGATAACTTGTTCGTAATTTGCTTCAAGTATTTGGTGCTTAATATTCTTTACAACAGCCATCTTAAGAGTTAAAAAGAGCAGTGAGAAAGTTAATTATGGAAAACAAAAATGACTGTCACTTTGGGGGTAACCGGAGTAAGGTACAACTTTTTTCCAGCTATTTTCATAGAAGAAGAAAGAGGAGAAGCTAGCATTCCCTTCCAATGAGGCGCTTTATTTGATATTGAGAAGTACGCTCAAACAGGTGCCTGTTTTTAAGAGAAGTGAGGCACTTATGTAGAGCAAAGGTACAAATTTTACTAAGGGATTCAAGTCAGTTCCTAACCTAACAGGGGCGTCACAAAACAATTCATCTTCTTGAATTACCCATAACATATATTGATTAAAAAGCCAAATACAGAAGGAGTTCCTGTAGTCGTTCCAAGTTTCATGCATAAAACTGTTTATACAACTCATAGGGTGCTTTGCATGCCATCAGAATAGAAAATCCAAACGCAAGAAAACAAACCAGGCAAAAAAAAACATTTCAAGAAAATTTTCCTAGAGAGTTTAGCATTCTGCAAGTGGATTTCCGACATAAGTAAGTAAAGGAAATATAACTAAAAGGATGTCTGGAAAGTTGCCAACGTTCGAATATTTTTCCTCACTGAAGCAGCTTTGTGACAGCTGCCGAAAAGTTCCTTGTACTGACGAATTTGATGTCGATATTAACTTATCGCGTGATTCTGCATTAGCTATGACGTTCACCTGACTGACATCGTTTGTCATTAGCAGTGTTTCAGCTAAAGTTATTATTATTATCAGTTATGGAGTTAATGTAGACAGCAACACTGATCAGGCTCAGATTTCTTACATATATTATGCACATAAAACGCAGTGGCACACTCATCCGTTGTCTGCTTTAGTGTGAACAAGCTATCGAAAAAAAGGATTTGTTAATTAGTTTATTTTTGGGATTTTTCGTTTTCACTTTTCAATAATTTTTTTTACTCAACATAATCGTGAAGTTTTCGTTTGAAATAGAATATTTTGGTAACCGCTTCTCGTTTGGCAGTTGAACATTCTTTGAGCCGTTTAAGCTTGCCAGAAACTGACAAATGTTTTTTATCCCATCACCAGCATTTCTTAAGTCATTTACTTTTTTCAAACAGTTTTAAAGGCTAAAGGCACTTATATTACGTAACGCTCAAATATTGGACGACATACTGAAGTTTTCGGGAAGCTTTCTTGAAGTTCTACAGTTCGAATACTGTGGAGAAGTATCGCCAAGAAGGCATTACAGCATCTAAGATAATCTGTTTAAGAAACGAAAACCATAGCAGCTGGAAACTGAATCGGATTTCATCCCCATCTCGATGACAGCATCAAATGACTTTTTGTAGACTTTTCATGAACGCATGTAAAGATTTTGAAAGTGAGACAAAGAAAACGTACGCTTAACTTCTTAGGCGATTGAGTTTTGCCGAGCAGAAATGCAATAAAAAAAAAATAAGAAGAGTTTAATCGTTTCTGCTGGTTGTAGTGTACAAAGAAGTTTTTATTTCACTTACAAAAGAGTAATCGGTTAATTTGAAAAATTTTCAATAGTCTTTTGATAATGTGATAAAAAAACAGGGGTGGAAATAGAATAGGAATTTTTTTGCTGATAATCGGTGGGACTCTAATAAAATGTGGCTTACGTGTAACGAACCTTTAGGATAATCATTGACTAGTATAATGAATTGCGAAAAAAAGTGGAAAAAAAGGAAACCAGATAACATCATAGGTATCGTGATTTTTTTTATAAAACTTCTTTATCAGAAAAGTTTTTTTGCACCCTTATTTTATAAATTTTGAACTGCCATCCCCATAAACAGTTCAAAACTATTCATGTAATATCGTAATTCAGTGAATCTGCAAACTGAAATCAGATGTATCAATAACGGTGGCCAACACAGATTATCACATGCAAGTATGACATTCGAACAGTTTTGAACATCAGCGATCATAAATTATGATCCACATAATGGTGTCCTAGAACATTTTTTACTGATAAAGTTTGGCAAATTGCCAAATATGGGGAAAATAAAACACGATTAATTATAATGAGAATTTATACATAGTGCCAATTTGAGTGACACGTTTTATACGCTCCTGATGCCTGCTTCTAGAGCGTTGTTATGGTTGCTTTCCTGATAGATTAGATTCTTCTGCACATTAAGTTTACTTTTTGCTCGTTTTTGTTCGCTGTAGTTTTTTTCCGAATTTTTTTTGTCAGTGGCTGGTTAAGGAAATATTTTAGAACTGATAGAAAAGTTATCAGTGCTGCAGTCTGTGTGTTGTGTTTGCTGAGTGTTTACAATAAAACTGATCTAGTATACTTGTCTAAGAGGTCGCTTAGATTTCCTTCTGCGGTAATCTGGTCGCCAGTCACTGTTTTTCTTTTTGGCTGGATTTGCCAGTATTTTTTTTTGGTTGAAACTTAGAAATTTTTTTTATTTTGTTATTTTTTCTTCAACGGCAGAATTATTCTGCATTTCGTAATAAAGTGTTTGATCATAAATTTTTGTAACATTTTTAATCATTATTACTAAAATAATATTTTTTACTGCTATTTTAACTTACTTAAAACTTTAATTTTTTTGCTTTCTATTCTTGGCAATTGTGCATTTTGGAAGTCGGAATCGCTGCCGCTATCTCAATAGCAGTGGCTATAAAAATTATAAAATTTGTGCATTTTAGACTTAATGCTTTTTTAGTGTTCTGCTTTTAATATTTTTTGCTGCTTGATTTTTGCTCTTTTTTACCATGATATATTTTGCTTGATGTGTCCGACCTGTGGCTGACTTTTGACTTATTTTTCTATGAATGTAAAGGTGGAAAAAACGTTATTTCTTTTTTAGTTTGATCTTTTCTGCTGCTTTTGGCTGACCATATTACACTCTGTGACATTATATTCTTAGTATTACGATTATTATTATTATTACTATTATTAGCTGATTCCGAAAAATCTCAAAATTAATTTATTATTATTGTCTTATTATTATTATTATTATTATTATTATTATTATTATTATATTATTATTATTATTATTATTATTATTATTATTATTATATTATTATTATTATTATTATTATTATTATTATTATTATCATTATTAGTATTGTTATTATTGTGATAACCAATAGGACGTACACTTCAAAAGGTATCTATAAGTTTGAAAACCGGTTTTAGAGTTCGGCCGGAATGACAATAGTGTTGCACCAAATCTTAGGATTCTTAGGCGCTATCGCGTGTGCTTTTGGTGCTTTGGCAATACTGTACTCAAACGTTCCCGAATTGACACCGTCAGCTCTACTTTAATTATTTTTTCCTGTTTTTATTTGCAACTAACTACTGTTTTGGGCTTTGTCAGTCAAGCTGTTGTCAGTTTAAAATTGACTTGAGAGCTATTTTTATCAAAGTGTTTTTAAAATATTTGTAGGCTTAAGTTCCTTTTTTCAAGCGCACTTTTGGCTGAAAGGGGCCGGATTTGTATGACAGAAGTGGTTAATTTATTCTCTTCATTATGCATTTCCGACATTACTCTGTCGTTGTTGGTGTTAAAAGTCATTTTCAGTGAAGAGCGTGTAGATTTTAAGTTGCCAAAGAATCTTGATGATGCAAAACGTCTAGGATTATTATTGTCAAAGTACAAGGATGAGCACTATAAAACAGTATATTTTGGTATTGCCACTGTATACATTTTGTAAGTGAATTTTTTATTTTAAACTGTTTCTTCTGTAACTAACTGTTTTATCAACTTTAAGTTAGGCAATTTTTAATTTTTAGTGGGTTTATTAATGACAGAATTTGCTTGTTTCTTGTAGGTTACAGTCATTTGCAATACCGGGATCAATTTTTCTAAGCGTGCTCTCTGGTTATCTTTTTCCATTTCCATTGGCTTTGTTATTAGTTTGTACGGTGAGTTCAATAAATTTGTTGCTTTTTTGCTTAAAATTTTTTTATTCCGTAATTTGACTAGCAGGTAGGTGTTTCAAAAATTCTCTTGATTTCCGATTTTCAGAAATAATTAGAACTTTTTGAAAATTGGTGGGCTCAGTAATAAATCAAACTCATTGTTTTTGAGTTTCAGTGTTCGGCATGTGGGGCTTTAATGTGTTACTTTTTGTCATATTTTCTTGGCCGGCGCTTAGTATTGACTTATTTTCGAGAACGAGTTGAAAAATGGCAGGCCGAGGTTCCTTTTTTAATTTACACTTACCTGGTTTTTGAATTTTATCATCTTTGAGGTTTAATCTATGTCCCAAACTCTTTACTGTAGTGCCTGCTGCTTATATTGAATCATTTTATCAAGTAGTTGGTTTTTTTAGGTAGCTTCGATTGATCGTTATCTGTTGTTTTACATGATATTTTTGCGCGTCACGCCAATTTTGCCTAATTGGTTCATAAACCTCGCTTCACCTATTATTGATGTACCAGTTCCTATATTTTTTTTCGGGACTTTTATTGGTAATTTCTTCCATAATTGAGTTCCACCTCTGTCAAATTTTATGATGAGAACTTTTTCTCTGTGGTTGATTCTATGCCAAATCGCACACTTTTTTCACTTATTACGTCAAAATTTTTTTAATTTTTGCTATGTAGTAGGGGCTGAGCCTTGGTATGAAAAAATGAAGAGATGACCTGAAAAAATGGATTCCCACTAAGTTTTAGTCCACTAAAAAGTTACAAACTGTTCAGGTGGCTGCTTGACATGACTGTCTTCAAAGATTTGTAATGCAACTCAACTTTGATAGAATTTAACAGTTTCTGATTTACAGTTTTTCTTTGCCCACTTTTTAACTATATTATTTCTTTCAATTATGTTTTAATTAGCTGAATAAAATAGAACAAAGGAAGAAGTTCAAATAAAAGTTACAAAAAAAAAAAAGCTTCTTTCCAGTTTTTTGAGGAAAAAACATATTTTGTACAAAATTTTTTGCTCTACAACATATCTCAAGCTGATAGTGATTCCCAACCGAAATCAAGAGTTATATTTTGGAATGCTAAGCGAAGTGGATAAAAATCTTCTGCTTTATAGTGATCGCGTGCATTTTTCGATGGCTAAATCAACGTTAACTGCTTTTAATAGCCGTAGAAAGCAGTTGTAGAAAAATGTTACGCTTTAATCATCACAGAATTGTTTTGGAAAGTTGTTTTTTGTTATTGGGTATATTTGTTGCGAGCGGGCTAAATTGAACAGTTTGCGATCTACAAATTTTGTATTTCTTAACAGCTATAGAGAAGGAGTACAGTTCTACGAAGGTTTTTTATGCAATTGATGAAATGATGTTATAATTTTTTTAGGCTTTACTGGTAAGAATAGCCTTCGCAAACTTTGGAAATAATAATTTGCTCCTATTTATAGCTTGCTGGTGAAAAAACTACGTTAACACAGTGCAGGCATTTGTTGAGTTTAGGTGTACAGATGTTAGGGTAATAATATTTGGCACGGCAGTTAAACCAATGTTCTCCAAAATTCATTTCATTTTCAACTCTGCTGTTGACAGTTAAAATTTCGTATTGATTGGAGCTTTCCCCTTTCTTTTGCTTTTCATGACTGTTAGAATCAACCGTTGATTTCGCCACTGTAAGATTCTTACGGTTACTTTGAAAGCAGCGATCTATTATTCATTTCATTTTGCTTTTCAAGGGATAATTCTCAACTTCGTTTAAGGACCATCATCAGTTTGTGATACGTTATAGAGCGAAAAATTTTGTAACATTTGTTTTTTTTCTGAAAGATTTGAAGATCTTTTTTTGTATTTTTTTATTTAAACTTTTTTCTGTTTTTATTTGGCTAATTAGCATGATTAAAAGGAGTAATATGGTTCAAAAGTAGACATAGGAAGACTGTAGACTTTAAATTGTTAAATTCTATCAACTTTGGACTGGACTCGTGTTTGAAAACAAGCATGTCAAGCAGTAACCTAGAAAACTTTACAGCTTTTGAAAGGGCGGGACTTGGCGGGGAACCCACTTTTTGGTCACCTCTTAATTTTTTGATGGATGTACCCGGGACTCTGCAAACCGCAAAAGTTAAAAAAATTTTGAGGTGCTAAGTGAAAAAATTGTGCGATT